GGGAGAGGGAGAAGCAGGCTCCCCGCCGAGCAGGGAGCCCGATGTGGGGCTCGATCCCAGGACCCCGGGATCATGACCCGAGCTGAAGGCAGACGCTTAACGGCTGAGCCACCCAGGCGCCCCTGACCCACTATTTCTTATTAGAATTTTATTAGTCGTGTCTATTCTTTGCTAATTACCCAAAGCATAGGCCACCTATTTAAATGCCTTTGTTATTATCTAGATAGGTTCTATTTGACAATACTTTAGGATCCTCCCCCAGCCCAAACTGATTCTTCTTGCTCTCTTTTCTGCTTATTGCTTGGTCTTCCTATGTCATCATCCATGAGGTAGGACTTTGAAAATCAACCTTTTCCATCTTAAGTGCGACATCCAATTAATCCTCAAGCTCTGCTGGTTCCACTTCAGTTCATTTCAAATCAGTCCCACTCGTCCTGCCCCCCACTCTGAATGTTCCTGGCCTGGCTGTAACTGTAGGGGGCACAGCTCAGCTAGCCGGCTGCCAGGCTCGGTCCTCTATACCTTGGCTCACCTTTATCCATTCTCTAGTCTGCTGTCAGAGTGATCTTTCTCAAACTTTCTGAATCTGATCAATTCACCTATTTGAAACCTTTAAAAGATCCCACCATTCTCGGATTTAAGTTCGAACGACACAGACAGGGCTGCTACCTACACCTACAACCTCATCTTGTATTTCTATCCCATTCCTTCCTTCCATATCTCCTAAGCAGCCTGAACTAGAATCAGCTTTTTCTAAAGTATCATTTTTTTTTTTTTTTTTTTACTTCTACATTTTGGAACATACTACAAGTTTCTGCCTTGCCAGGCCAAACAACTAGCCAAGTCCTATTTATGTTCCAGAATTTGGATAAGAGAGTACCTTGTTTAGCAACACATCCCTATACACTTTAAACAAGTGAAACATACAGTATGTGTACTATATCTCAATAATGCTATTATTGAAAAGAAAAGAAGAATGAATCGGGCTCAGATGGTCCTGAACTCATTTAGTGTTATACACATCTTCTCCAACTTCACAAGATCCCCTGTGCCTATCTCCCTAACATTTCTACTACACTGTCATCTGCTGGCTCATGACTGCTGGAGGGCATGGCCATGACAAATTAGTCTTCACATTCTCCTTGAGTAATATAATGTCTGGTACAAGGCAGACACTCAGTAAATGTTTGTTGAGTGAGTGACAAGATTATATAATCCTTCAACACAGCATTACATGGTTGAAACCAACTATAATAGGTCCACCAAGTGTTAGAATGGAGTTTACAGTCACCTGGATTGAAGTCAGGTACATATAACTTGCCACCTAGAAAGTACATTACCTTTGCGGCTAAACTACTATTAGGACTGACCAATACTAGGCTTTAAAATTCAAAGTATAGCCGTTAGAATGTAATTGCACTTTAGACAATATAATCCTTTCCCAATGAAATACAGCCTTTGTCCTCAATTTGCGTTCCAGCAGTTAGTGTTCATATTTATCCATCTGCTTACAGGGATGAGTCATCATCCAGCTGCTATAAGCTGTGTTTAATTAGCTTTAAAGCATTTTTCTAAGAGCTTCTGTCCTTCCAACTTAAGCTCCATTAGTTTTCTTGGCTGTCACATTATAGAACAAATAAAGTGAACATGTCCTTTTTAGTGGGGCCAAATCATTCATTATAAATACTTATATGCAGCATACACACACAATGGAAGAGTATTCATTTCTTTGCATCATCGAATACATAAACTTTCATTTTTTTCCGTTTTCAAAGCTTTTCCAAAAATGGTAAAGATCAGTCCTCAAAGGATGTTACTTCTTTTTTTTTAAAAGATTTTATTTATTTATTTATTTATTTGAGAGAGAATGAGAGAGAGAAAGAGCATGAGAGGGGGGAGGGTCTGAGGGAGAAGCAGACTCCCCGCTGAGCAGGGAGCCCAATGCGGGACTTGATCCAGGGACTCCGGGATCATGACCTGAGCCGAAGGCAGTTGCTTAACCAACTGAGCCACCCAGGTGCCCCAAGGATGTTACTTCTAACAACCAAGTTTTCATTAATGGCCTAAAGAAGAGAATAATTCATAATTCTGTTCTTCAGTGTAAAAGAATACAGACCAGAAGAATTCTATCCAGATAACATGGGCCAATTTTAGATGCTCAATCTATTAATTGCTTTCCTAAGAGAGTATGTCTTCTGGCATAGGAAACCTGGTTTCCTCTCCCATGGTTGGCAGGAAAGAGAGACAGAGGGAGAGAAGGGGCAAAGGACTGTTCTTGCCTTCCGTGATCTGGTGGGATGGAGTAGGAAAGAGTCTGAAGAGTTTCTCTTGGTAACTCCCAGTTTTCTACCTGGCTGGTTTAGAAGAGATTATATTCTAAATACTTCTGCTATCCCACTACCATTCCCTGCCCCAGCACCTTGCTTGCCTTTTTTAGAACTCTGTGATTTAGCTTTTGTTTCTTTATCCTTTTACGGTCTCTCTCCTCTGCGAGGGTGTAAGCCTCCATGGGCAGTCTCTGTATTTCCCTCTCACTAAACCCAATGCCTTACACATTCTGCGAATGCGGTGAATGTTGGGAAGGAGCAAAGAAAGGTTGAAATCAGAAGGGCCTGAGATGGAAATTTACGCTAGTGCAAAAGTTCTAGACAGAGGTCAATCTTGAGTAAAGTGGGGGCAGGAAGGGCAGAGGAAAACACAAATCAGCATCTGCTTCTGGCTGCAGGGAGAAACAGGCAGCCTTGGAAGAGGAAAACAGCCCCTCAAGCACTTCTAATTCCCTATTCTATTTGGTTTCATTAACAGGATTGCAATCGTATTATTTTTCATGTAAATATACGCTGCTCCTGTCACATGATGGTTCCTGTAGACTTGCTGGTCAGTCTGCCCTTTCTAACATTGTTTCTGTGGGAAAATGAGTCATAAATTCCAAATAACTGACTCACCAAGATTTTGAACATAACCAACTCAAATTATAACCTGGTTTTCATTTCAACTGTCTCTTATTTCCATCTTCTCTTTCTTTTCAACTTTCTGGTTCTCTCAGCTGTCTTCCTTCCCCCGGCCCCTGTGTTCGCGTACCTGCACACCCATGTGTTTGTGTGCACACACACCTTATATTCTCTCACAAGAAGAACAGAAACAAACATACCCGGTTCTCATATCCAGTTAGCAAGTCTTAGAATTCTTCCTTAATCATAAAAATTATGAGTCAGATATGAGCTCACACTCCAGTCCAATTCACATCCTTGTTGAGGACTTATTTGCCTGTGCCCAGTCTGTCAAAATAGCCAGCTTGTTAGTGTCCTGATTCCAATCTCTTCTCCTTTCAGTCCATCCTGCATACACATGTAGCTCATAATTACCTCTAAAGCACTACTCTGCATCATGTTAACTCTTTTTTTCTCACATCACTGCCATGCCAAGTGAATAGAGCTTACTTCCTGAATTCACAGTCGAGGATTTCCATCTGATGAACCTATCCCACCTTCCCAACTTCACTTCCTATCACTGCAGCCTCAGGGCCGCTTTCAGATCATCTCATTATTTCTTAGGCACACACTTAACCATCCTACCTGTGTGTCTTCACTCATGCTCCTCCCTCTGGTCTTCCTTTCTTTCCCAGTCATCCTTTTATGATCAAATCTAGCCCCAAAACCTTGATAAAAACTTCTCGATCACCTCAAGATACAAGATTCCCTTTCTACATTCTTTTTTTTGTTGAGTTTTTACTTTAATTCAAGTTAGTGAACACAGTGTTATATTAGTTTCAGGTGTACAATATAGTGATTCATTAATTTCATACCTCACCTGGTGCTCATCATAAGTACACTCCTTCATCCCCATCACCTATTTAACCCATCCCCCGCCACCCTCCCCTCTAGCATTCATTAAGTTGTTGTCTGTAGTAGTCTGATTCTTGATTTTTCTCTTTTTTTCCCTTTTATTTGCTTCTTAAATTCCACATGAGTGAAATCATGGTATTTGTCTTTCTCTGACTGACTTTACCCAAGCTTGCACAGCTGGAATGTAACAGAAATTATCTTTAAACCCTGGCCTTCCGATTCCATGTTAAATTCCCTATTCAGCACTTACTATAAACTGCCTCAGGTTGGTAATTATTTGCATCATTTTTTTGCTGTCTTCCAAACTAGATTATAAGCTCTGTGAAGGCAGTAGATACATAGAGAACTTGCCCCCCAGTGCATTATAATACACAAGATGAGAACTCAAAAAATATTTGATTGAATGAGTCTAAGAGTAAGTCAATCCATTCACCCAACTTAAAAAGCTTTGGTGATTCTGCTCTCCCTCTTTGTCCAATATTTGAATTCTGAGTACTCACCTGAACACTGTGAAAAAATGCAACGTATCTTGGCTATTTTTAAATTTCTTAACCTAGTCATCCCCAAAATAAGCTGCAAATTCCCCTAAATTTAAATACCCCTTAAGTTACTTTGATGAATAAAATGAGACCAGCAGGTATTTCAATGTTGGCCAATGTTGGCCATGAGTTGTAGGAATAAAAGTTGGGGAAAATGGCAAGTGAAGTTGAGTCATCTGGCACACTTGCTGAAAACACATATATCCAGGATTCAGCTCCAGTACTTTCTCAATCATTTTTCCTTATGCCAATTTTTATTGAACACATGACCCCAGTGGGCATACTACAAAACAATGAACCAGTGTCAAAGCGACACTCACTGAAGGCTCAGCAACAGACCATGTTGTTCGTATTAGCCATTTGTTTGTGTGGGCACAAGTACTCATGATTGTAATTTATACTGCACGTGAATTTTCTGCTAGTGACATTCTTCCTGTTTTGTAAAAAACGATTAAATTTTTCAATATTTTACAATGTTCCACAAAGAGCTGCTTTAACCTCTAAGTCTGGAAGTCACTGAACAAAGCACAGGGAACCTGAGAGGAGTATTTAAATAGAGGATTTTATGACAGGAAAAGAACTTCAGTCTTTAGAACTGAATTCAAAAGGTACTCACAGGCTCTCCTCGTGATCCATCCTGACCTGGAGCACCTGGAGGTCCTGCTTCTCCCTTTTGAAGATAAAAAAAAAAAGAGAGAATTCCATTTTCAGGCATGCTTATAAAATAATAATATATAACATTAAATATTAAAGTACCTTAGATACAAACAGAAAAATTACTTCTAGGTTGTTATTATTATTAATAAGTTACATGGTCACGGATGGCAACTATACTTGATACAGAATTGGTGAATCACTATGTTGTACACCTGGAATTGTCTATAACACTTCAATTAAAAAAATGTAACATTGTATGTCAACCATACTTCAATAAAATACTCAAAATTTTGTTTGCTATTATTTAGTTAATATCAAAGAAAAATTATAACAATAGTACAGGATGTTTTTAGGTACAATTATAGATTTCTATTAACAAATTAGGTAAAACACCTAAATAAGTGGAAATATATATGCTGTTTATGGATAGAAGAACTCATTCTTTTTTTTTTAAAGAAGAAGATAGCAAGAGGGGAAGAATGAAGGGGGGGAATCGGAGGGGCAGACGAACCATGAGAGACGATGGACTCTGAAAAACAAACTGAAGGTTCTAGAGGGGAGGGGGGTGGGAGGATGGGTTAGCCTGGTGATGGGTATTAAAGAGGCCACGTTCTGCATGGAGCCCTGGGTGTTATGCACAAACAATGAATCATGGAACACTACATCAAAAACTAATGATGTAATGTATGGTGATTAACATAATAAAAAAAACTCATTAACAGTCTTGAAGCTATAAAGTCTTCATAGAACAAAGATGTTAGATGTCTCCAAATTAATCAAAATTTAATGCATTTTCAAAAGAAATCCCAAGAAGATTTTTGCTGTAATGTGGCAAAATGATTATAGGATTTAAGCAGAAAAACAAATTACCGAATAGCCAAGACAATTTAGGAGAAGACCAAGAGGGTGAAATGAATTTGTTCCTGAACACATATCCAGCTATGGGAGTTAAGAGTGTATACCAACCCAGGGAGAGAGAAAAGATCAGTGGAACAGAAAAGGGAGCCCAAAACTGCCTTCAATAAGTTCAGTATCTGGAAAGGAACTGTAACTGCAGCAAATGGTACTTGGACTATTAAATATAATTTAAAAAATTAAAACTGAATAATCACACACATGCACACACAGAGGAAATAAGACCAAGGTATGAAAAACAGAATTTTAAATCCTTTTGAAGGAAACATAAGAAACTATATTTATAATTTGGGGGCAGAGAATATAATTTTTTAAGTAAAATGTAATAAAACAAACCATAATAAATTTTGATTATCTGACTCTACTAAAAATATAATGGCTTATCAAAAGATATTTTAAAAGTCTAAAGACAGACTACAGATTAGAATAAACTTGCATGTAATAACAAAGGGTTAGCAAATTAGTATCTAGAATTTAAAAGCCTTCTAGTACTCAATAAGAGAAATAAAATAAAAAATAAAAATGGATTATATAAAATACATATGAAATTTAAAAATTCCTTCTGGATTATTGATTTTAACTCTTCCTGACATCAAATAACTTATTATGGAATTCATGAAGTGACTATATAAATATCAAATCTATTATGGCAGCAGATAATTGAGTTAATTTATAAAATAACTCTGATACTGTACACTCATTCTTATGAGAGTAGGACATTACTTTCATTGCCAAAGTAAATGTGATCAAGGTTTCCATCAATCCTTTCGTATTTATTTTTATTTTACTTTTTACTTTAAAGTTGATCATTCTCTTGGAATGGAGCCAATGGATTGGATCATTCTTCTGGATCTATCAGAATTGATCATTCTAATTTAACCGTGCCACCCAACAGTTGCATTTTAAAACCAAAATAAAGCTTTCATTAAAAATGGAGTTACTTATAAGTTATTACTTGAAATTATTTGACACTTTAACTTAGTATCCGCCTCTTTAAAATTAACACCTAAAATATTTATTTTTAGATGGCTGTAAAAACTAACATAGTTCTTAGTTATATGCCTTTAAAATACTATGCTCAAATTATTTAGGCATCTTATTTGATACCCACCCTTTTGCATCCTCAAGACTTTTCCCAAATTGCCAGTGTACGTAAAAGTATCTATACATACTTAACAATAAATATTAGCTGAATTTGTTCCTAAAATGTATAATATTTACAGATCAGTACAGCTATTAAACTATCAGGGGCAGTATAATAAAGGGCGGGGAGAGGGGGAATAAGCCTCTTAAAATACACACACAGGCACACCGTCCAACATTTAGGCTTTTTGAAACCTAACAGTCATTAGGAGCCATGATTTTGTCTTCTGTTCAGCAAAGTATTGCATCATAACAAGCAAAGTTCTCTGCAATTATGCCACACTTTGTTTCGTACCAGAGAAAACACTTCATTCTACATGAGAGCAAGAAAGGAGAGCAAAAGCCTTTTTCTTGTAAATGCTTCAAATGCCTGAGTGGAAATAGGTCTAAGGGTGAAAGAGTCTTGGAATAAATGTACTGATGCACATGCCAACATTGTTTTCCATAGTTTCATATTCTAATGAATTTCCCAAAACCGTAGAAAATGAATCACAGAAGGAAGAACAAATAAAACCTGGCTAACATAATCAGCACTTAGAAAAAAAAATTCAACCATATCACATTATGGAAACATGGATTCTCCCACTTTCATGAATTCTTGCATTTCATAAGCACAGTGAAATACCAACTCAAGCCAAATAGTTCATCTGTTCCAATTGTACTTACAAACACTAGCTGACAAGCTGACAGCTGACAACAGAGCGAGCAAAGAATAATGTTTTCCTGTAAATTAACCAAATTGGGAGGAGGAGGTGCTGCTAGCCATTGGGGTGCTACAGAAAAGCTTACGAAAATACCGAAGAGAAACAAAGATATATGTAGGATCCACTAAGTTTAAAAGCTCTAGGTCAAAAAGTCTGAAAAATTAAAGGGATGTGTCAGGACCTAATACAACAGAGAAATACTGCAATGACTATACCTAAACTTAACATTCATATTAATAGTCAGGAGGATTCACCCAAGCCATTGGTTCTCATGTATGGCCTCCACATCAGCCAGCTCAGCTTCAGTTCATGTGGGAACTTCAAAGGGCAAAATTTCAAGCCCTCCTGCAGACCTAATGAATCAGAAACTCCGGATGGTGGAGCCCAGCATTTGGTTTTAACAGAAGTCCAACTGATTCTGATGATCTGAGGACCATGGCATATCTGTAAGTCTTTAGGCCATGTACCTTCCCATACTTCCAGATACTGTCATATGTGACTTGCTAAGCAAATCTGTAGTTTAGCTCTTCTGTATATAGATGGAGGAGGGCAGTTGTCAAATAGTAGAAAAAATAAATCTGGGATTACATAACTACTTTGGTAAAAATTTCTCCTCTTACTTCTCTGATGACCCAATCTTATTTTTTTCCAATTAGCAGGAGGTTTTGTAAAAAGTAACTAATCGTCATCAAAGATTATCAATAACGAAGTCCCCAAATTATTTGAGGATTTATTTTTATTCCTACTTCATGTACATCATGATACATAATTATATGAACAAAATGTCACCTATTCTTTATCATCTACAGCAGTGATTCTTACACTAGCTGCATCAGAATCTCCTGGAGAATTTGTTAGACTGCAAACTGTGGACTCCACTCCAGAGTTTCTGATTTAACAGGAATCAGCATTTCCAACAGGTTCCCAAAAAGTGCTGATACAGTAGCCCTTGCTCTAGCCCAGATCTCAAGATACTTACACATCCTTTCTGCTCTTACCAACACCTCTCTACAACGACACTGTATATATAGCTTTACACTTGGCATGGAGTTTTAGGATGGCCAAGCTGTTCAACAGGTATCTTGTTTATACAGGTGTTGTTTTCATGACTTGCACATTCTTTAAAGGCAAGAAACATCTACATGAGTTTTTTTTATTTTTATTACTTAGAATACTTAGAATTGTGCTGAGCAAAAGGTATAGTCCCCTTCTTTATAAACACTAAAGCATATCAAGGAAGGAGAAATGGGTTGTTTATTCTTAAATGTTTAATTTCGAGGGGATAAAGGAAAGAGGAAAAACATTGATGGATAGGGCTACAGCATTTGCTGTTGTAAAATTATGCACACTGGTTATCAAAAGATGGTGGTAAATCATCTTTACCTAGAAGTGTCCTCTTGAATGCCTGAATAATGTTTCACTGGGAGATGAAGGATGATTTCTTTTGGGCCATTTTCCATAAAATAATTAAAGGCAATACACAACCTGTGAAATTCAGTATTGTGATCAGAACCTAACCTGATCACTTGATTGCTTTCGTGGCCTGGAGAACGTGGTATGTGTATATTTGTTTGACCGGTGGAAAAACGCATATAGCATGTCCCTAGCTCTAATTTATTATTTTGCTATCCTATTAATTTCTTTCTTAATATAAAAGAATTGAAAAAATGTTACTCGAAACATTATTTCTAAATCCAGTTTCTACAGCTAATGTCAAAGATGATTTATTCCACAAAAAGCAGCTATTTTTAAGAAGGAAATTTAACCAAAAACAGACATGTAAAATTGCATTGCATGTATATTTCCTTTCATGCTATGGCCTCTGGTACTTACCCACAAAAAAATTAAAAGAATGGAGAATAATTTAGTCTGTGGCCATGGCAACCCTCAAAATCAGGTGGGTGACCATTAAAATATAATTTAATCTTGAGGAGTTTCCTTATTTTATTGTTAAATACTTTATTTTGACTTTGATCTTACTACATGGTTGATTCTTAGTTTGTAAACAAATCTCTAGCGTGCCAAAACATATACCGAAGATCTAAGACTTAGGGAAGCTTCTCCCTGCTTACCAAATAAACAGACAAGAAGTTTAGGAGGAATCATGCAGAGAGGGGAACCACACAAACTAGGCCTGGAATTCTATCTCTGTTGTGTAACTGAATACACTTCTGGATAAATTAATTCATCTGTCTTAATCTGACCTTACTGTCTAAGTGACATTAATACTCCCAATGTCATAAGATTTTTT